TTAAAAAAAAATTTTTCATTGAGATATATATTTATACGCTCTTTTAATTTTTTTTTAAAGTGCATTGTAACACATGCAGATGCCAGTAAAGACTATATTTGATTTTATGTAATTGTAATACAAAGGCATGTATACACAATTCAAAACGAATTCCTTTTTCATGTTTTTGTATGCTGTATATACATGTAACAATTGTATACATATAGTGATTATGTAAAATAAAATAATAGTACATATTTTACTGGCCTCTGTGTAATATTAAATTATATTTTTTTGAAATGATAATCACTTTGTTGAAATAATAATTCCCGGATAAAATTTACAATTTATTCAAGTTTAAAAGTACAAAATCAAAAATTACATTTTAACACAAAATTTCCAAAAGTGAGAGTGTTTTACAAACTCAAACATGTCTCATCTTTGACAACTCCTCCCCCTTTTCATCAATGAAGTGGTCAATGAAACAAGTTTAAGGACTGTAGTAAAGTTAAGGGAAAGCTCAATGTCATTAATTTATAACACAGGAAACAATCTGAGTTAACGTAACGAATGCAAAGAACCACCAGTCTTAGATCTTACCATAAATCTGATAACAATAATAATGAGCTAATAGCATCGATACCGTGGGATGGAGAGAGATGTCAAGTTTGAGAAATTACAAACACGTGCAGCAGTGCTCGTTCCAAAGATCTAATAAAACAATTGATATTATTAATTTTCAATTGTACATGTATTACCTTGATTTATAGAGTGATAATCTTATATGTTCTTTGCGAGAGGATGCTCCGCCTTGTGGTGTCCTTGTTTCATGGGGATTGTTGATTTTTTAGCTCTACTGGTCAGAGACCAGAAGAGCTTATGAGATAGTAATGTGTCAGGCGTCCGTCCGTCTGTCTGTCAGTCTGTCCGTCTGTCTGTAAACAATTTTTCAAAATGCTACTCCTCCTACAGTTTTAGTCAAATTTCAATATAACTTGGCACACATGTAGAATACACTAAGATACATAATTCTGTATATCAAATTTTAATTTTGATGAACGGTGTTGCCGTGGTTACTAAAAATAGAAATTTCTGTGAAATTCTTTCAAAATGCTACTCCTCCTACAGTTATGGTCTGATTTCAGTATAACTTCGCATACAAGTAGAATACACTATGAGACATAATTCTGTTTATCGGTTTTTGATTTCGATGAACGGTGTTGCCATGGTTACTAAAAATAGATATTTCTGTGAAATTCTTCAAAATGCTACTCCTCCTACAGTTTTGGTCTGATTTCAGTATAACTTGGCACACAAGTAGAATACACTAAGATACATAATTCTGTTTATCAGTTTTTGATTTCGATGAATGGTGTTCCCGTGGTTACTAAAAATAGAAATTTCTGTGAAATTCTTTTAAAATACTACTCCTCCTTAGTACAGTTTTGGTCTGATTTCAGTATAACTTGGCACACAAGTAGACTACACTAAGATACATAATTCTGTGCATGGGTTTTTGATTTCGATGAACGGTGTTGCAGTGGTTACTAAAAATAGAAATATCTGTAAAATTGTTTCAAAATGCTACTCCTCCTACAGTTTTGGTCTGATTTCAATATAATTGGCACACAAGTAGACTACATTAATATACATAATTCTGTGTATCGGTTTTTTGATTTCGATGAACGGTGTTGCCGTGGTTACTAAAAATAGAAATTTCTGTGAAATTCTTTCAAAATGCTACTCCCCCTACAGTTTTGGTCTGATTTCAATATAACTAGGCACACAAGTAGACTAAACTAAGAACGTAAAGAGACTTTATCAACGATCATTTTTCTATTTATTGCTGTTGTAAAGTTTTAAATCCCAGCTGCTTAAGTACTTTTCTCTTCCTTTGCTATAAGTTCAAACCAGTAGAGCTTCAGTCTCGACAGAGACTTCTGGTTTTTTTACTGCTTTTGTAGTTTTTTTTAATATACTAAATAATGAACAATTATTATCCCACGTTTTACAGGTATATTTCATGGGGCTATTAAATTCTTTTTTTTTCATTGATTTTGTCTTTTTCATATTTTCAGAGTAACAGTACCTCTCTTGATTGATTCTACAAGATTCTGAAGTTGTTTTCCCAAAAGACCCTTGACCTGCTTCATAAGGGTGTTTTAAGTGAGATCTAAGGATGAATAAGACAAATAGTGGTTCAGTAAGCTGTAAAGCTTAAAATTGTGTTGCTGCATAAAATATAGCCACGCTCAAAACGGCACTGAAACAAACATTGACATGTTGTGTGGTTTTTCAACAATACTGCAAATGAATAAGAAATAATATCAGAAACTTTTATGTTTTTTCTGAGCCATCTCTCTCCATGGTATTGGAAAAAAAAAGAATTAAGACCTCCAAGAATTTAATTAATGAATATTCTTTCCAAACATTTTCCCACTCCTTGGACTGTAAATTCTGAGTAAAGAAATGTGTGATGAACATTTCAAATTTCTATGTGATGCATACATGTATAAACTAAAATCTACTACATGTACATGTACTAGGCCTAAATGTATGACAATAAATCTGACTTAAACTTAGCCAATGCATATTTTTGTATTTTTTGAACACCTAGTGTTTAGGCTCAAGTGAGCTTTTCTAATGACATTTTGTCTGTTGTATGTCCAACTAAAATTTTCACAATTTCGACTTCTTCTCAAGTACCTCTGGGTCAATTTAAACAAACTGGTACAAAGCATCCCTGGTTGAAGGGGAGTTTGAATTGTTAAAATGAAGGGCCAAGTTCCCTACAAAGGGATATATTCAAGAAGAGACAAAAATAGGGTGGGGTCTTGAAAAAAAAATTCAAGAACCACTGGGCCAGAAAGTAAAAACTGTGGAAGCATCTTGGGATTAGTGTAGATTCTAAATTGTTCAAATCATGACCCCCCCCCCCCCCCCCCCCCCCCCCCCAGTTGGGCCAGTTGGGCCGGGCCACACTAAGGAATCAAAGTTTTACATAGAAATATATAGGAAAAAAAAATTTATGTGGAAAAAAATTCTAATAGGCCCGAGGGTCTATATTAGGGGAGGGGGGTGGTCCTGTCCTCAAGCACCTGTGGCTGGGTCAAGAAAGCTGAAACTTATGTGAAAGCATCATGGGGTAGTGTATATTTTAATTTTTTTAAGTATGTAAAAATTAGCACTAGTCTAGTACTTAAACATTGTTTGAAAAACCAGTAAATCATACAATGTATGAGTTGCTGGACTAGATTCATGTTACAACATTAGTCTGGTTTCAGGATGGTGTATTTTTTAACTGTATTTTGTTTTGTTTTTTAATGCCAAAATAATGTAGATATGTAGTTAAAAAAAATCAAAAATATAATGATATAGATTTATTTTTCTATACAGCAATATAATACACTAAAAAACATTAATTTCAGCTTTTTTTTAAAAATAATTATTTAATTAAAGTCTAAAAACAAACAACATACTGTCATACAACAACCTGAAACCCAACACAGCTGAAACACCTATGTATGTATTAAAAACCAAGTAATTAATACATGCAACTGCAAAATCAACATTGCAAACAAATGAGCTCGTCATAATTGGTCTCATCCTACACTATAAAATATATTTTATAGTGTATTTTTATTGTTATAGTTTTCAAAAGACAGACTGAACAAATGCAACTCGAGACATGGGTTAGATGGATTTCATCTATTTACTGTATTTAAATTTGTTCTCAATTCTTTGTCGTCATACACATGATACAAACGAAAGTATCTGATCCTCCTACGATTAATGCCACAAGTAAATTTTGCATAAAATTGAAGTTTAAGCGATGTTTTCTACCCATTCTTATGATGAAACGCCATACTGTTTATAGTTTCTATGCCTCCCGGTGAGGGCGCTGCGAAAATCGGAAGATGATTTTCCATTCGGAACTCGAATTTTTGAAACGTCATGAAAAATCTAGAGTGCTACGAAAGAGTCAGCGGTCCCTCTCTTATACGTCTCTGGTTTCCACCACAGGCGCTTCAGCTTTATCAACTTCCTCCATGTTCTCGATATTGCTGTACAGTGTCTTTTCGAGTTTCCTGTCTTTTGAGTAAACTTTTCTTTTGTCTTCCATCTTCAACACCATTTTATTAATTTTAGCAGACCTTTGAAGATTCACTACATTTTCATCATCCGTTTTTTCTGGCTTAACATCATTAGTGTCCATTTGCTCCATATGATCTGAAAGTAAAGCTTCATCTTCGGTATTTAATTCTTCATCAACTCCATGATCACTGTTAGTGACATTTTCTTTTACAGCTTTGTTAACTCTCTCAATTTCATTCTTGGCATCAAAAGCATCTATATTTTCCTTTGAGCCAGTCTTTTCAGTACTTTGGGTGGGTTCATCAATACTGATCGACACTCCATTATTTCCATCCCCTGGTCTTTCCTCAGAATTACTTTCCTCGGTAGTTTGATTACTGGTACATGTATTAGGATTGCAGTATCGCAGTAATTGTGTCTGATTACTTGTAAACAAAAGACATTTTACAATGATTGAGTACCAGCCTCCATCATTTTCAATTTATTTGTACACATTTTAAGAATTGTCTTGTTTTGTTCTTGAGTTATGTTATCGCAATTAAGAATTTTCTTCAGGGTAATATCTCTATATTTGTATTTATGTATAAAAAATAACACAGGGTTTCCCAGTATGGCCAGAATAACAAGAATGAATGCTACAATGATTGAGCAAGATGCAATCACGAGCACAGTACTTCCAGACTGCTCTTCGTTTTGGATCATTTTCAATTTATTTGTACACATTTTAAGCTCAGTTATTGTCTTGTTTTGTTCTTGAGTTATGTTATCGCAATTAAGAATTTTCTTCTTCAAGTCCTTAATAATCCTTTGATAGTTTCGATTTTGCAAAACAAGTTGTTGTGGTGATAAGATGTTACCGTGTTTTTCAAAACATTGCCTATATAAGTAGCTCTCTAAAACAAATGTGTTAAATTCGTTACTATTATTTATATATAACAATTAAAAATATAACATTCAATTGCTGCTTGATTGGCCTGAATTATAAGTTCTGAACCATTGTTTATCTCAACACAGTACCCTCCATATATCTTCGTATCGCAAGCACAAACCATAAATGTTCCATTCATCCAAGTGCTTATAGCATAAGTAATATTCATATTTGATGACGTGCAACTTAAGTGTTTAGTCAATTCCAATTTTTCCTTCTGATCAAAGGGCACATAATCAGTCTCCATTAATATTTCTGCTTGGCCTGTGCAAGCTGTTACACTTGCAGTTGCATCTGCTGTCAGAGAAATACAAGCTGCGAGAACTCCAAGCAGTATACCTGAAAAAAATAAAAACAAGGTATACAATAATAACAAATGTGTTAAATTCTGTTAAATTATTTATATATAACAATTAAAAATATAACATTCAATTGCTGTACTTGAAAAAGCGACATTTTTGGTTTATCTGTGCAAGCAAAGACTTTTTTAAAATTCAAATGTTACATAAATATTTAATCAAAGGAAATAAAATTTTTTCAATCAAAACTTCTTACTATCCGTTAACTTTACGTTTTTGCATATATTGCCTTTTCAACTGTTACAGGACAGATGTTAATTTAAATATCCATAATGAAAGTTCTTAATAAAGTTCTTATTAATTTGAAAAATTTACTGGTAATCTTAAATGATGATCTGTTAATTCCTTTACTCTTTTGATGAGCTATCATTTGCCAGGTTAGTGAAGATATTACATGCAAATTGATACATCTGATTTCACAAATCATTGTAGTACTTTAAATTGAAAAGACAAATTTCACATTCCATTGAACCATGCTAGTGTAATTTATATAATTTTTTCTACAGTACCTATATTGTCAGATCAAAAACCTGCATAAACATTATGAATATATTCATACTGATTTTATTTCTAAGATACTGACCCATTAAGTTGGTAACTTAAAGGTTAATATAAAGGGAAAACACCAATTTTTACTCGCAATTTGCGAGTGGGCGAGCGTTAAGTTTAAACCCTGATGAATATATTCATACTGATTTTATTTCTAAGATACTGACCCATTAAGTTGGTAACTTAAAGGTTAATATAAAGGGAAAACAATGTCTTACGACGGTTGACTTCAGATTGATCCCGCAAAGAGGAACGACTTACAGGGTTATTTTTGCCCCCCTGACGTTATTTTTGCTCTTTTGAACTTCATGTGAACAATTTTGCCCCCATTTTAAATTCACCCATTCATAGTTCTGTTTAAGAAATTATGCAGTGTAATTTGAATTCGCCCCGCTTTAAATTTGCCCAATCAAGGAGAGGGCGAATGGGGCAAAATAAAACAGGGTCGAAAATTTCCCTGTATACAGTATATACATTATGTTTGTCAAACTGTTTATACCTGGGACCTTTATACTATAGTATATGTTACAAGTCTCCAATACTTACTTAATGACATCATGGTCATGGTGGTTCTGAACTGCTCCCTGCGATGTTTGGTCAAATCAACAAATGTCATCAAGGCAAAATAAATTTGTAGAAAAGAGAAGAGCTTTTTCAAGGCTAAAAAAGAGCAGTATTTAAAACAAAGGATTAGTGAGTCTTCTCAGCTGTACAGTAACAAATGACAGAACAACGGTAGTTGTAGCCAGGTATAGGTAGTGCCAAACATGACAGGGACTTATACACTAATGTTAGTATGTAAGTCCCTGGTAGTGCCTACTCAGGCTACTGCACATGTCAATTGACATACATGCTGCTGCCATGTTCTGACTTCACTTCCTAAAATCGACAATCGATACAAATTATTTATTTTAAAAGACATTTTAAGTGTTCAGTACCTACCATATAGCCCCACAAAACAAGAAAACTGTCTAAAGACTGCTGACGACTTTGAATGATGGAAATTGTGTGTGCAAAATATTCACTCTCTATGTCTATGATCTGACCTTCACTGAGAGGAACGAACGACAACTCTGCATGGGATCTCAACGGTGTCTAGTTAATTCGTGCACAAACCGTTAAGGAGACAGTAGCAGAACAGCGGAGTCAGCCGAGGATTGCCGATTGGCGTCTGGTTGAATGACTTGTATGGTATTCGGGTGGTTTCGCCCCAGTAACCTATTCAAACCGGGTGCGTCGATTTACCCAAAAGGACTCAAAAGAAACCCAAAATGATTTTAAAAAAATATATATATTATATGATACACTGAAAATTTTAAAAATTAAGATATAAATTTGAATTAAATTATAAAAAGAATGGGGGCGTACAAGGCGAGGACAATCCCCCGCTCTGAGAAAAGACAATTTTCAATTCTAAAGTCAAAATTAAATTGTTTATATTATTTTTTACAATGAACAATGCATGAAGACTTGACCCATTCATTTTTAAAAATCTTTTTTTTATTGCTCTAGTAAACCCATTTTCCACTAAGTTTGCTCAGCTGTCAACTTTGAAATAAAGATTATCAAATATTAAGTCGTTCAGTAAAATAAAATGATAAAATGTTTTAAAGATGACATCACTGAGAACATGATTTTAGAAAAATATAACTCTTCTGCGAATTTTGAAAATTGAGAAACATTTTGTCTCATAGCGGGGCTTTTCCACGCCTTATACGCGCTCTTTCTTCACGTTATATTGTAAGTTAACATAAAAGCTGCAAAAACCTAAATTTAAATATTGTTACAACTTTTCTTTGAGAAATAACTTAGCACTGAGATAAAACATCAAATATCGTCATATATACAGAATATGCTTTGCTTTATTTTAGCTGACGATAACAAAGTATTAATACATGTACATCAATTTTCTCCTTATAATTACATGTAACCATATATCTTACTATATGATATATATTTGATGAAGAAAAAAGTTTTATTTTATGACTTGTTCTAGGCATATGGTATCTGGGGTGGGGTGGGGAGACCCCCATCCCCGCCCAAAACACTGTACACACACTTTTTCAAAAACTAGTTTTATTTTTAATAAAAATCTAAATCTCCTGCCGCAAATTGTCTTGCTAGTGTTTGGAGAATATGGGTGATTTGCATCAATTACACATTTATTGACTTCATCAGTGCGTAAACAGGACGAGATTTCTTGGCATGGTCAGAAAAAAATCAGCGAGAAAAGTTGTGTAAGATAGATATAAAGATTTTTGGCTCCCAGCACCTACTGCGACACTGGACCTCGGTTTATACGGTCTCATTCGTCTCACAGTGGGATTTGAACCCGCGACACGAAGGATCAACTCCTTAAATACTTCGCACTTCTAGATCAGACGTTCTAACCATATACAGGCACCTGAAGAATGGATGGTCCCCCGCAAAGCTTCTGAAAATTCTTATTAGTCGATGGGGAGAGAGAAATTACCAAGACAAACCATGTAGTAAAGACAGCCACGCATGACAGAGCCGGTGTAAAGACGAATAATGACCCCCATCGAATAATGACCGGGGGTCATTTTTCGACAGCGAAAAATGACCCCCGGTCATTATTCGACGTAGAAAAATGACCCTTTTGCCCGTAGAAAAAGTGTCACTTCCCTAAAAATTTGCAGAACCCACGTGAAGAAAAATGACCCCCTTAGAAAAATGACCCCGATGTAGATTAAAGCTAAAAAATTTTAGGGGGCAAAAAAAATTGAATAAAGAAGCATATTGGCCAAAATGCTCACCTGAGCTTATTGGGAATAAACTGATGACATGTTGATCTCATAACATTATACAATTATAGCTATATTTTAAGGTAAATGCAATGATTCAGAATCTAAAGGAGTTAAAGATTTATCAAGCCTTAAGGGTTAGGTAAACATTGTTTGTTTATGGTGGAAATCATCGAACTGACAGAAAAAAATCAGCAGTATTATATATTACTATATCCACCGCTTGAAAATCGGGAGGGTATATAGTGATTGGGATGTCCGTCCGTCCGTCTGTTACGCTTTGAGGTATCCATCTCTTATCCGCAAATCCTCATATATAAAAGGATGTGTTTGTGAAACAGCTATGCCCCTGTATGGCAACATAGCGAAGATTAGACTTTTCTTAAATGCAATTTAAATATATTGTTACCCCAAGTAGGGTCTTCTCACAAGAAACACAACTGCAAAATAGGAAAGCCCTAGCACCACTTGTTCAAAAGTAATGGCTAAGGATAAGTTTTTGAAAGGTTGGTCAAACTCAAAGGTCAAAGTTGATAATTTCTTAAGAATATGTTTAATGTAACACGGATTACACATGTGAAGTCTGCATACCCTAGCCCTTACCGTTCAAAAGTTATGGCCAAGGTAAAAAAAAACATCATAAGTACGGAAAACTCCAAGGTCAAGGTCAAAAGGTCAAGGTTTTTAGTATCCAATAAAAGGTAATGCCAAAAAACTAATATTTGAAGTATGAGAGTACTAGTACCTACCGTTTAAAAGTTATGGCCAAAGCAAAAATTTGGCATTTTTGTATAAAATGGGACAAACTCCAAGGTATAGGTCAAAAGGTCAAATTTGGTGGTACCCAAAGTAAGGTCTTGTCACAAGGAATATACATATTTAAAATGAAAGTCATAGCTCCAATAAATGAAAAGTTTTGGTAAAGGTTTTTGCGAACAAACAAACCGCCAGATAGAAAGACAGACATACAGACGAACGCGACAAAACGATATACCCCAGAATCTTCGATTACGGGGACATAAAAAGAAATGGTCTTCAATTAACTTTTTATATTAATATACATTATAAAGAAGACGTTGCAACAATGAAAATGTTTGTTCTGATTTTCATATTAAATTCTCTGAAAAATATACTCAGAACTGAGTAAAAGGGTGGAGTAAAACAAGAATTAAGGTAGAACCTATGTCGAAAAAGTTTTTGTCACAAGATTTTCAAACTTTTCAAAATGATAAATTAGTACTTGCTTATCAATCATTTAAGAAACCATGATATGTTTCCTTGTTTTTTTAATCTAGAACAGGCTTTAAAATTTGGTATGGTATTTACGAGGGCTGTTCAATAAATAATGTCCTCGGTGTTCAGAGAGAAGCAAAAAACGCTTTTCAATGATTAAGTCTTCCTGATTTTACTAATTAATCTCTTTTAAGTAAAATACATGTAAGTAACATTTTTTATCCAATTTCTGGTCGTTTATAGAACTCATTTTTGGGTATGACCCTTGGTGTACTGGAAAATGGCAGATTCAATGATTTCTTGGACTTGTTTCTTCCTTCTGAAAGGTGTTTTTTTACCAGGTTTGGAATTAGAAACAAGTCAAAAGGTCAAAGATCTGGCGAACATTGTTAATGTAAAAAAATATTAACTTTCTGTTTATCCCGAAAACCCCTTTACTCTTCAGGGCATGCGGGTTTGGACGCTGTCTTGAAGAAATTCAATATAGTGGATTCCTGATTCCTGATTCTGGGTCCTTCCTCTAATAAACCTTTTGATTTTTTGGCCTAAAAATTAAGCTGTCTCTCCAAATACGATTATGAACAACAATACAACTAATGTTTAAGAAAATTACATATAAATCTGTCTTTGTGCCCTTTCATACCTGTGCACTTGTCAGACATTCGGCGTTTTTATCAAGTACATCTTAAGGTAAATTTTGTTTTTAGGGTTTTAAGCAATAGATTCATGTTCCATAATCTGTTTGAAAATAAAACAAACGTGGATAACTTCAATTACTGGTATCTTAAAATAATTGTTAAGAATTTTTTACACCTTGTCGTTTTCACAAAATTTTCAAAATATGGGGTGACCTTTGAGTATCAAGCTTTTTTACCGTGAAATGTTTCTTAAATCCAGTGTTAACTACCCCCGATGTGATGTCTATCAAATTTGCTATGTGTCTTAAAGTCAATCATACATCATCAAATATTATTTGTTGAAATTTGGCGAACAGTACATAAGTTGTTATAATTTTTGTAGGCAAGGAGGGTACCCATTTTTGATGCCCATTATATAATTTTTTATCATTGAAATCATTCTGTTCTTTGTCTATAAAACAGGCATTTGTTGCTGTAAATGACACATATTTCAGTGAATATTTCTTACGGATTTTTAACAAGTTTTACAGCAGCTTTAATGTAGCTTTTATTTTACTATAGTTTACCGATTCTTTACCATTCATTTAAAATGCAGTGTCTCTAAAATCCCTTGTTTCCCAGCTTCTCACGATGAAACTATGTGATAAAAAGTGGTCACATAAACTGTTATAAATTCAGTAAAGATTCAATAATGAGAGAAAGTCAAATTTAATGTCATATGATATCTGTATTGTATGTCATACAGTTCAGGACATTATTTATTGAACAGCCCTCGTATTGTGCTCAAATATTAGTAAATTCTTTCTTGAAGAAACATTTCAACTTACTAGTATATAATATTTATGATATGACCTATTTGGAAATAAGCTCTCGATATTAAATGGGTTATTTCAGTATTATATAATCATAGTGTTAATATTTTTAAAAATGTGGTTACCAGAATATATTTTTTATTTGTAAATATATGTAAATAAATACTCTGTCACCCAAATATTATTTGCTTTAAAACTTATTGCGACAAATATGTGTACCTGTACAATCGTTGATGTTTGATACCATATTAATGATAATGAAACAATTTATCTTATTTTTTATTCTCAATATTTTTATCCGTTCCACCATTCTTTGTTACATCAGAGTTAACGTTTTTACCATCATTTAAAAATGACCTCTGTAAATTTCATCACAACAACATTCTGTAACCGGGCTATGATAATAAGAATCTTTTTTTGGCCCCCGACAATAACAGTACACAGACCAAGAAATAACATACTGTGGTTCACCGCCAGACCAGTATTACAGATTACTTACATTATGTGTAATTTTTTCTCATGTATTTAAAAATATCTTCAGTCCAACCAGAGGATCCGATTACATGAAAATACCCCCATCTGTATTCAAATCACTCGAGCATATTTTTCTAAATAACAAAATGTCCAATGCTTAAATTATAAGATAACAAGGACTTAATATGCTAATATTTGAAAAATCGTATACACTTTTTGTAAAACGAAATCATGGACAAAAGACGAAAATATTTTTTGTAGCAGGCGGATACTTGTTAATTTCATCTATAAAAAAAACATAAGATCTATAGATTAAGTGCCGTTTAGACATTTCATACAGTCGTGTAAATTTCAACTTCATTCTAATGTAATGCATAACTTTATTCAAACTTTTAAAATATTTTTCTTACTATATTTAAACGTTTTCTCTTAACCTATCTTCTTCATTAGTTTTTTCTTTAAATGTAACTTGACCTTCCAACAAATATATTTTCAGCATCAATAAAAATTTTATCCCCACCTAAAGAAAATTTATGCAAACCAATGTTTAAAAGGCAATGTAGTCAAGGAGAAAAGCAATAAAATATTTAAAAATCAGTACTTTAGAGGCTGTTAAAAGCTTATTATGAACAGATAACCTTATAATGCTGGTCTAGCCATGACATAAGTATAGACAATTATTTTTCAAAATTTAAACAAAAGCGGGCAAGTAATTGAGAAATATTACAACTACAGAGAAATTACCTTTTATATTAACAATAACCATTATCAATAAACTTGTTTCATGATGTTTGAATTTTCTAGTTTCTATGACAACTTGAACAAAATGGCCGCCCAGAAGTGACACCTTTTCACCGCGGAGTGTCTTAGCTGCCACCCTACACCAGACGAAAGTTAATTCCGACAAAATCCCTAATGATTAACCAAGTATAATAAAGGAGAAAAATCCTGCAGCATTATAAAACATAATACAGAAAAAGGTGTCGGGGCCGCTGATTTAAATCTCCAGGAGAATTAGAGATTTCCCATTTATCTGATCATCTTTTCTGGTTGGCTGAGAAATCTGAAAAATGTGTACAGATTTTAACAACTTGGACGATTAGTCGGGTCGCTGCTTTCACCCCTGTTGTGAAAGTAAAACCGATTTAATATACTAAGTACAGTAAAAAACTACAAACAGTTTTTAAGCTTTCTTGTACTTTATCATAACGATGAAACGTTTAACAATGATAATCCATAACATGAAAGTTTTATGGGGATGAAAAACATGAACATTTTAAAATATGGTAATATTGCAATAAAATATCATGATTAGCACTTTTTAAAATAAGGTGTCCTTTTTGAAAGGCACAGAAAATGGGCTTTCTTGATTGTATGGCAAGATACACATAATAAAAGAATGCTGTAATGTATGCATGAGCTTTACGGACGGCATCCGTTAAGAATTGCGTTTAATTTGCACATAATTTAAGGTTTGAAACCTCCAAGTGAATGTCGTAAAGAAATAAAGACTTTATATCACATTTTTTACACATAATGTTTCTTGCACATCTGAATTTGTTCAAAAACGTCCGCTATCCTTTGTTGTAGAATTTTTGCATTTTTCTGTGGGAAACGTGGAATCTGGTTGGAGAGCTCTTCGTTTTGGGAAAACAGTTTGTTGAGTTCCTCGCCCGCATTTCCGGAATGATGGAGGCGCTCTATGGCATGCGCGGTAGAGTTTCTGAAAACACAGAGAGCGTCCAAGAGCTTTTTATGATAAGAAGCATATTTGTCCAGCAGACGATAACCATGAAACAGTCCCGACTCATTATCCAGGAAAACCAGGCGCCCATTGGACGTCCGCTCCAGATTATGGGCCGGGGTGTTCATCATATTTGGATTCCACTGACGGTTAAACATGTTATTTACCACGCGATCTAGATTTGCCGTCAGATAATCGAATATCAACAGGTCTGACCATTGCACTAAATCACAGAGATCTTCAGGACCTTTTGAGTTTGCTAGGTCCTGTTTAGGATGTAATTTTCTATCTTCTTCCCGAAATTCAAACGGAATATGAGATGGTTTTAGTCCCTCTACAAATTGTGTAAATATAACAACTTTATCGTCTGCCCATTTACTGTTTGCAATTTCACCTGTAACCGTCCTCCATCGGTCATCAATTGTATTCACTAAATGTAAACTCGAAGGGGGAACGTTATTTATACCCAAGAGTTTGCTAAGATAAAATGAGAAGATATCCCCCTGTATTTGGTCTGTATTCATTCTATACCTAACACAAGCACGGGATGCATCTTTGAAAGTTGCTAACCTATTTTGCATCCTACCACATCCATTTTCTAGTTTCACAACTTTAACATTGTTTATTTTACTCTTCCAATCTTCCTGCTCTTTTTCGGTAAATCCGCCCGGACATTTTCTCTCCGTGGCTTCGGACCAGAAGACCCCGTCCAGGACATCTGGTTGTTTTGCTGATTCACGATTCCTAATGAGGGGTTCTATTGCAGGTGAAGCGCCAGAGGATCCGTCCGATTGCCGTGATCCGCTGTAATCCGTTTGTCCCTGTAAGTAGTTCGTACCATTGTTCTGAGGATACACCACTCCATATGAGGAAGGCTTTACAAGTCTTAATGGATTATCCAGCGAAAGCTGTTTTCTCGCCGAGCCTACAGATTCAACACGAATGCCAGTTTTGGGGTCAGTTTTTTCAAAGTGTTGTTCTTCCAAAGGAAGAGTTATAACCGGAAGCTGAAACATCATCCCGAGAACGAAGCCTAAAGTGAACGCAAGTCCTGCCATGATGACAGATTGAAATTTTCTCATAACACAACCAGACACACGGCTTCAATCATTCCTTCTACGACCCTCAGATCAAAATGAACGTCTCACATTTATAAATACAATATATATAGAACGGTTAACAAAGTTAGCACTGAAAAGATCCGCTAAGTAAGCGTTGTATCTACCACAGCTGTCCTCGTTAGCGCTTCATTAGTACCTGTGAAGCTTGCGAGGAAACTTGGAGGAAGCGAGGTCCTGTGTCACAGCAGACTGTCTCTAGAATAATAATTCAGTGTCTCAAATCTCCGTAAAGTTGTGATAATCTTCAGTCCTCCCCGCCTGTCTCCCGGAGATGTGCGACAAACACTGACTGACACTGAACGGTCCCCACACCACGGGATACCTCGACACCACACTCCGGGAATTCTCGTCAACGCTGACTTTCTGTAAATAAAATGTCCTTACATTATTTTCTTCTTAAATTGCAGAAAATCCACACAAAGTTTCTTTTTTTCTGTTTACAGTTCATCCATCCCAATATGCAAGCACAGTTCCTATCACTCTACAGAATATCATTAAAACCCTTTAATTCTCAAGCCGAACAAATACACCTCTATCGCGCATGTTCCAGGTATAAATCGAAGAGGCCCCGCCCACCCGCATACATCTTATTATAATGACTGGTTTACTTGGAGCTGTAAAACGAGATCCCTGCTGGCATCTATTGACTGACCGTATTCAGTCCACAATTCTTACAAAAATTATTCAATATACAATACAAGGCTTAGAATACTCCGTAAACCCGGTGAAGTATTGCGTAAGGATATATCTGTTGTTTCGCATTCACCTCCTTTATGATTATGACGCTAAGTCGATTTTATGCTAATAATGAAAAGGTGATGTCAATAATGTTTTGATAATGAAGTTTTTGTCACAGCATGAAAGTAATGGGTGTGGATTAATTAATTATGCTTTGCAACTGTTCAGACTTGTCAATGTAATATATTACTTAGCGAGTTTCAAAAAGTCATCTATCAGCCGTAGGCGAAAATTTCAATAAATTCACTAAATAGAAGAGACATAAACGATTTTCAAAACCGCGGAATTAATTTTTTATGTGTTTGCAATTCATCTTGTTGAATTTTTTCGTCTGCGTTATATGCTATCAAAAGTTTTTTCGGAGTATTTTTCGCATACTAATCCTCATAATTATATACATGAATTGAAAAATATTAACTGATAAAAAAACAAGTTAATTAAACTCTGCAGTTTTTTTATTGCATAGGAAAGGTAACATTGTCATGATATTGTGGATACCACTCAGTATGCTCAAAATCAGGAACTCTTTAAAGGCATGGAGGCTTCAACATTTTCAATGGAGAGAACGATCATAGGCATTTATGCCTGCTGTTCAGTCCAATTCGATGAAAAAAATATTTTAAACCAACATTTTCAAAAAGTCATGTTTGAATAAAATACAGTAAACATCTTTTTGATATTACTCATTCTAAAATTTACTAGACACAGGTACCAGAGTTGTCAAAATGGCCTGAGAGGAAATGTAAAAAAAAAAGTCTGAACAGAAAGGAATATCCCTTTTCCATGTATGGAACTACTATTGAATAAGTTCATTTTGATTGGTTGAGAATAGGCGTGATACCCTTAGTCGACGACTAACCCTGCCTTGTCGTCGGAATAAGACCAACTTTGAGCCCGAGGTTAAAATAAGTAGAGAAATAAAATGTGAATCGATATATTAAAAAATGACAGATGCTTAAAAAATGGTAACTTTATATATGTATTTCTTTGATTCGCGGGATAGAAAGATATGTTTATAAATTAACCAACATGCCATAATCATCTTGGATATGAATGTACATGTACGTGTGCAAAACGTTAAACGATATATAGTTGATAGTTGATATCATTGTAACTTTTATATTCTTAAATGAAATCCTTGGATACTTAGCATATTTATAAAAGGTCTAAGAGGAATAAGGCACGAAAAGGGACATGGGGAGCGTTTGGGGAACATCTGTAACGGTCCCCGTTACAATTAGCACTAGTATTCTACATGAAGCTTGTATGCGTTCTGACGTCCTCTAGATAAAAGCATGTCGTACGTTTGTATTATCAATTTAGATACAAAATAATTTGTACTGATATCCCTATGCTGTAAATCAACAAATTTATGGACTCTTTATTTATATATCTTGTAAAAACATTCGATTTTTTCTTGTGAACAGACTGTCACACAAAAATGAAAAATATTTTATAATATTATGTACTGATTTGAATGCAAAAACAGTTTTACAAATTTTTCTGCACCTATTGTTTCACCCTATTTGAATTAGCTCTTTTTAATGTACATATACAAGAAATATAAGACCATAACTTCGAATATGAGTTATACATACCTTAGAAAAAAATTCTAAAATTCTTATGTCATTTTCTAAGTCTTCGGCTTTCTCGGATTGATAACACCTACATAATAAAAAGTGTTCTTCGTCAATGCTTAGAGCCTGACAAATTTCCTTCGTTTTCTCTTCGATATTTACAGATTCGTCAATTTTGTCCTTTTTTGTCATCACTCCAAAAACAGGAATTTCTGAAAATGTTAAAAAAACTCATAGTTATACAATCTCATTTTTTATTAATTCTTTTTTTTTATAAATTGAAATCTACTTTTTAAAGAAAATAATCTCACAATATGAGGAAGAGCTATTATTTTTCAAATTGTTTTGGTGGACCAAGGTTTTATCATTCATGAACATATAACCATGAATGTTTATATTATCTAATGTATATATTTAAGGTCATTTAGTGACATTTGCAATTTCAAAAACATTGCGTGGACATTACGTAGTCTCTTGAATACCATATAAGGATTAAAATTCTTTACTTTTTTGGTTCAAATTGGCTTCTTCGTAGATATCGTCAAGCAAAGCCTGGGGAATCGCCATCGTTTCTCCGGATACAACAACTATGATAATATCAACAGCCATTCCTTTAATTTCTGTTGCTTTCTCTATTTTTCTCCCCATATTCAGATTTTCAAAAAGTGCAAATAGGTCACAATTATCGGGAAGTCTGCCCTGAATGATTAATTCTATTGCTTGCTTGTTGGCGGAAGCCTTGTTTTTGTCTGTCTGGACATCTCCACTGTTTCTGTCATTATCGTCTTTTTGTACATGTCTTGATTTGGACAGCTGTTCTTCCAAGCCACTCACATCGATAAAAGTGGGAAGAGAAAGCTCCTTGTCGACTTTTTGATTCCAATATATCTCCGGTGTGAATCTAGTAAGCCATTAAATAATATAAGAGTTAATCATAAACAAAATGATATAAATTAAACTTGACCATTTGAAACCGCTATGTATTATGAGAAGTAAAGACGGAAAACATTCTTTATATTGAATAAGTCCAATTTATGTTGTACCTTATTTCAAGTTAAACTGTACACTGTGTATGTCCTACAGTTATGCCCTTACCCTTACATTTTAACATAAAGAATGGAGGCGTACAAGGCAGGGGGAATCCCCCGCTCTGAAAAAGACATTTCTCAATTTAAAAAGTAGTATTTTTTCAAAATTTTATGGTTTATATCATCTTTTACATATCAAATTCTATATTTTATTGTTTTAATAATTTATGAATAATTTATTTTTACTCATGTTTTAAGATATTTGAAAAAAAAAGAGAAAAAGCTTCATGTTTGATTCGAACTCTCTCCATAGTGTAGGTTTGGTCCAAGACCAACCGCTTTAACCACTACGCTACAAAGTATATACACTATTGAGGTCTTTCAGTGTGATTTAAATGGATGGGTTTGTTGAAGCGAAATTTTTTCAGAAAAGTTCGATTTTCATATAGAATGGGTTTAGGTTCCATTTTTTGGACAAATGAAATGGATTTCACATTTACATTTCCATCATTTTAGCGTTCTTGAAGAATGGAGACTTGACCCATTCATGTTCAAAATTCGTTTTTTATAGCTCTGTTATACCCATTTTCCACTAAATATGCTTAACTGTCAACTTTGAAATAAAGATTATCAAATGATAAGTCGTTCAGTAAAATAAAATAATAAAATATTTTGAAGATGACATTACTGAGAACATGATTTTAGAAAAATATAACTTTTTTGTGAATTTTGAAAATTAAGAAACATTTCGTCTCAGAGCGGGGGATTGCACACGCCTTATACGCCCTAGAACACCGCAGTTGTGACCGGTCGAGAGGAGATGGTAACTCCTCCATGACACCTGATTCTGAGGTTTTTGTGAGCTTTGTTCCATTTCTGTATTTTTTCAATGGACTTTTGAACTTGATTACTTTTAGTCATCTTCATATTTAATTGTTTGAAATATTTTCCATGATTCTGATTTTTACTTGAACTTGCTTCTAAAACTAAATGCCAAGTTTCCTTTTTTGTACATGAAAATAAAGGTGTGTAAATTTCAAGAAGAAGAAAATCTTTTGTGTCTGCAATGCCTTCGAAATGACACAGAATCATGTTTATCAAAAATCCCCTTGAAAAGCAGATAATGCGTAGATTTTTATACTGAAGTTAACAAACAGAGATCGATCTCAAGAAAGTCCCTAACAAATATGTGAATAGGACAGAGAGACATGAACCCCTGATAATTCCAGAGGTTGGATCACGTACCTAGATGAATTAAGCATCCCCTGTCGGTCGGTAAAATAAGTATTTGTTCTCATATAGAAGTCTTTGAATAAATTTTGCTTCACAGGTCGGTGTACTAAGGGACACAATTAGTTTCCATTGGCATTCACACATATTTTTAAAAGATTAGGTCATGAGAAGATTTGGCACAAAAGATAACATAGATGTTGTGAATGAGGAACTACAGCAATGCTTTAATATCAACTTCAAAGTATTTGGGGATGCCCAGAGACGCTGACAATATCATTTCCCATGACATATTTATATTTTACAATCTTCCTTTGATTGTTTTTATACATTTTTAGAATAAAAACATCTCAAAATGGCTGAGATCTGGCGAAAATTGGTGAATTGGTGAATAAAGAAAATCTCTGAATATTTTCTTTTCTTCAAAATCTTATTCATTTATTTATGCGGCTTATTTGCAGCTGTATAGTCGGGTACTTGAAAGAACTTTATTCGGTAATAACCAATATTTGCCCACCAAATCAAACTTTGACGGAGAAATATTTATTTTTTGTTCTTAAACAGGGGAATATATGCTGACTTCAATACACTTAATATTTTCGTAAGCAATGACGTCATATGTTTGAGATGACGTCACGAAAATGACGTGAATTTAAACTTTCCATGAATTCTACAGAAAAATGTATATATCACATCGATATTTAGAGTAAAGATAACCGAGCGCAGGTCTGATCAGGCTCAATATTTTGATATAATGTGTAGAATGATAATATCAATGAAATATGTTAATATTGTTCCTGTGCAAACTTGCGCTCTATAACTTTTAGAGCTAAAATTGTTGAAATTTTGTCCATTTTGTCCTCTTTCTAAAAAATGATATAAAAGCGGACTAGTCTGTAACGCCATCAAATAAATTTTTTCAACAAACTACTTTGAAAGTATAATATATTCTGTTAATCTATATTTCTCACACAATTTATATAATTCAGCACATTTCAAGAATTTTTGAAAATTTGACTTTTGTGGGGGCAAAGATATGCAGAATATCGCATATAGTTCTTTACCCTTGAGATAGGTATTTGGACTTTCTTTTCAGTTTTCAATTTTTCTTAGTGCAATTTGAACATTGAAGTAACTACATATATGTGGTCCTTTATTTGGATGTATGTTTTACTGGACCTTTTGAAATACACGAAAACTAATTAAACATATTTCGAGTCCAAGTTCTCTTACCAAAATGAAATGACGCCCTTTTCCTTTTATTCCACATCTTTTATTATTAATTTCAATTTGACTTTAAAGTACTATAAAGGGTGTACCTATGTTTTGCTACCTGTCAAGCAAGTTTATCAAGTCTTTCATTTTGTTTTAACATTTGTTTTTTTTATAGATCGCTGGCATACTAGTATTCAACGCTTATTTTTTCTCTAATACATTCAAAAGAAAACAGTGCACATTTCTGATAGGGACCAGTCGACAGGAGATACATACTTTTTTATGACACCTGATCCCACCTCTAATGTTTTATTTAGAGGTCATACAATGGACTTTTTAGCTTGATTGCTTTTCTTCATCTCTATATGTTATGAAGAAATCAAGTGTACAAAATCACATTCATTTTAGTTGACATGACTGTTATAATTTTTAAGACTGAAATGAAATTTTGAAGAATGCTATACTTAAAAACTGAATATGAGGATAAGTAGGATGTAGATTAGATCCAAATTCTTCTACAAATGAAAAAAGTGAAGATATATCATGAACAGTGATCAATCTCAAAATACCTAAAATCTGTTCAATAAATAAAGGCGATATTGATCAAATTTATTGAAATGATAGGTAAATTTACAAACAAGGCAAATAATTCTTATTTTCATCTTCATATTGAATACTCATTGTCTCAATGAGGTTACAAAGTCGGAACAGAATTACACTGATTTTAAATTGCAAAGTACGAATTTAGATGTTTTAAAATGAATTACCTACTACTGATGCTTGTGCATGTGTCTTTGGACCTTCCGCCATAGTACAATGTAGAAACGAAAGTACATGCACATATGTACTCCTGTAACTTAAAATAGTCACGAAAGATGACACAGTTTTTGTTAAACTTAGTTCAGATAAAATTCTTTCAGAAAAAATCGATTTTTGCACGAAGTTAGGGTTCTCCATCATTTCAAATTTAGCTATGGCGCAATCACAAGACTTACGTAAAGTGCTATAGTTCTCAGTCATTTTGTGGTCGAATTCGCGAAGAAAACACAAAAAATAGAAATACAGGCTCTTGATCACTACTTTCATTAATGCACAAATAATATTAATTATCTAGTAACTCGAAAAAATATTTAATGATATTTAAACTCATCAAGAGATATTAAGAAAACATATTTAGTTTGATCTAAACATATTTTATTGAAACACAATCAAAGTGATTGGACATTACCATTTGATTACCATTGACGTTTTTTTTTTCATGCAAAAGATCCAAATACATGTATGTAACAATGTGCCATACTATGTGATATATTTTTCTCAAGCTCACCTGGGTATATCGTTTCCCG